TCGACTTAATTTGAAAATTAAAGAAGTGTCATCTGCAAATAATACTATATCATGGTTATCTTCTACTATGTAAGGTAAGTCATTAATGTATACAAGAAACAGAAAGGGGCCGAGAATTGAGCCTTGAGGCACGCCCATTTGTACCATCGACCCGGAAGAACTCATACTGTTAATGACAACTTTTTGCGTTCTCTTACTTAAATATGAAATAATTAATTTAAGAGCATCACTTCTTACACCGTAGTGTTGAAGTTTCCTGATTAATGTTTCATGGTGAACACAATTGAAGGCTTTGGATAGGTCACAAAATATACCCAAAGCATCCTGTGAATTCTCCCATGCATTATATATATATTTAATCAGCTCAACACCGGCATCAGATGTCGAGCGACCCCTTGTGAAACCAAATTGACTTTTATGAAGTAAATTATTTATATTAAAGAAATTTAACATTTTATCAAGAATAATTTTTCAAAAATCTTACTAAGTGTTGGTAGTACAGAAATAGGTCTAAAATTGGCGGGGTCTAATGTACTACCAGATTTAAATAAAGGTAGAATAGAATAGAATAGAATAGAATATTTTTTATTCAATATACATTACATGTGTAATTCTTATTGAAAGTCATTTTTTACTTTACCACTGGTTCGAAAAAACCCTCTGTCCTGGGAAGAACCAGCAAGAAACCCAGCGGGACTTTTTTTTTAAAATAAATTTTACAATATAAATGATTACGAACTATTTACAAAATTTATTTTAGAAACTGCTTGGAAGCGATCACCTCATTCCCAGGGGTTATTATCAACCATGTATTCATTTATACTATAATAACCCTTTTTATACAGTTTCAGCTTAATAAAACATTTAAACTTGGTAATAGAGAGAACCTGTACACTTTCCGGGACTTTGTTGTAATAGCGTATACATTGCCCCAAGAATGAATTACTGACTCTGTGGAGTCGAGAAACTGGTATCACTAGCTTGTGTTTGTTCCTAGTGTTTACAGAATGTATATCACTTCTTTTACTAAAACTATCTTTGTTTTTGTGAACATACATTAAATTTTCGTAAATATACTGAGAGGCCAAAGTTAATATATTAATTTCTTTGAATTTATCTCTAAGAGACTCTCTCGGTTTTAGATTGTAAATAGCTCTAATGGCCCTCTTCTGTAAAACAAAAATAGTTTCTGAATCAGCCGCATTTCCCCATAGCAAAATCCCATAAGACATTATGCTATGAAAATAACTAAAATAAACTAATCTAGCTGTCTCGACACTAGTGAGACCTCTAATCTTTTTTACAGCATAGGCTGCAGAACTTAGTCTGCTTGCTAATTTGGATATATGGGGGCCCCACTGGAGCTTTGCGTCAAGAGTGATGCCAAGAAAAACAGTGGATACAACAGGGCTCAATTCCTCCCCATTTAAAAACACATTGGTATTCAGATTTTGAACATTCGTTGTTGTAAATTTAACACAATTAGTTTTATTTCCGTTCAAATGCAGATTATTAACGTTAAACCAATGCACTAATTTTGATATAGCATTATTCACTTCGTCACATTTAAATGATTGACGTTTAAGTTTAAAAATCAAGGAAGTATCATCAGCAAATAATACTATATCATGACTATCCCCTACAAGGTGAGGTAAGTCATTAATATACACCAGAAACAGGAATGGGCCGAGAATCGAGCCCTGAGGTACACCCATTAGTACAGCTGACCCGGAAGAACTTTTACCATTGATAATAACCTTCTGTTTTCTATTACTTAAATATGAAATAATAAGTTTAAGCGCTGTGTTCTTGACACCATAGTACTGTAGCTTCCTGATTAATGTCTCATGGTGAACACAGTCGAAGGCCTTGGAAAGGTCACAAAATATACCCAAAGCATCCTCTGAATTCTCCCATGCACAAAAAATATGTTTAATAAGCTCAACTCCAGCGTCAGTTGTCGAGCGACCCCTTGTAAAACCGAATTGATTATTATGTAGCAATTTATTAATAGTAAAGAAACTTAACATCTGATCTAAAATAATTTTTTCAAAAATTTTACTTAATGTTGGTAGTACAGAAATTGGTCTAAAATTGGCGGGGTCTAATGTACTACCAGATTTAAGTATAGGTATGACTTTACTATGTTTCATTAAATCAGGAAACACACCAGATTCGACGCTTATATTAAATATAGTGGCTAGATAAGGTGCTAATGTATCTATTATAGATAAAATAACTTTAACGGAAATCCCCCATAAGTCTGCCGTTTTCTTAACATCAATAGTTTTAAAATATTTAACGATATTTTTTGGCAGTACCCTATGGAATTTAAAAGTATTTGAACAAGCCTTTACATTTTGTTTGAGCAATAATTCGGCGACAGTAGGAGAAGAATTTAATGATTTTGTTGTCAAAAAAGGAACATCAGTAAAATGTTTCTCAAAAGCCATAGCAACTTCTTGATCAGATCGCGTTAAATTATTGTTAATACTCAATTGAAAATCCGAGTTGCGCGGTTTGACCTTGCCCGTTTCACTATTTATTATTCTCCAGGTCATTTTAATTTTGTCGGATGCAGTTTTAATTTTGTTGCTTAAATGTAAAGCCTTAGCAGTGGAGCACACTTTTTTAAATATTTTAGAATATGTTTTTACATAATCTCTAAATATAACACTACTATTATATGATCTTTCATCATAAAGCTCGTATAACCTTCGCCTACTTTTATAAATTCCTACTGTCGCCCATTCATTAAATGATTTGCGACTGTTAAAAGAGAAAATTTTAGAAGTAAATATTCTACTAAATTCACAACGTATAATTTCAAATAATGTAGCATACAAATAATTAGCACTATTTTTAAACGAAAGTGATGGAAGTCTTTTTATTATATTACTTCTAAACCTCTCCAAGCGATGTTCATTTATTGGAACAAACACAACTTTCTTATTTTTCTGTTTTTTGTGTATGTAAGGTAGTGATACTAACTGTCCACAGTGATCTGAACTTAAATTTTGAATAATTGATTTATGCAAGGGCTTAACATCTGTAAAAATGTTATCTATACAGGTCGCACTAGGCCCAGCAATACGTGTTGGTTCTAAGAATAAATTTACAAGATTATACGATTTAAACAATGAGCTAAACTTAATACTAATGGAAGAAGTTTCAAGGAGATTGATATTAAAGTCTCCACACATTACAACAGACTTGTTCTGTTTACTAAGTTTGAGTAAAACTTCTTCCACAATCCTTTCAAAATGGTCATAAGTAGCACATGGGTGTCTGTAAACACTTACAACAATGAGGTGCTCGAGCTCGACACAAGCCATTTCTACAGTTCGTTCAACAGAGAAAGGTATTACTTTACTATACTTCATTAAATCAGGAAACACACCAGATTCGATACTAATATTAAAAATAATAACTTTAACGGAAATCCCCCACAGATCCGCAGTTTTCTTAACATCAATAGTTTTAAAATATTTTACAATATCTTTTGATGATACTTTATGAAATGCAAAATTCTTTGTACACACATTTACATTTTGTTTGAGTAATGATTCGGCGACTGCAGGAGAAGAATTCAGTGACTTAGTGGTTAATATCGGAATATCAGTAAAATATTTCTTAAAAACCATTGCAACGTCCTGATCTGATTCGGTTAATTTGTTACTAACACTTAACTGGTAGTTTGAATTGCGAGAGTTGATCTTACCAGTTTCGCTATTAATTATACTCCATGTCATTTTAATTTTATTAGAAGCCGTCTTAATTTTGTTGCTCAAATGCAAAGACTCGGCTGTGGAGCACACTCTTTTAAATATTTTTGAATATTTTTTCACATATTCCCTAAACTCGACGCTATGATTATATGAACTTTCATGGTAAAGATCATATAACCTATGTCTGCTCTTATGGACTCCTACTGTCGCCCATTCATTAAATGACTTCCGACTGTTCAAGGAGAATGTTTTAGAAGTAAAAGTATTATTAAATTCATTGCAAAAAAGCTTTAACAGTGGTAGAGCCACGCGGCAGCTTTTGCTGTCGCACGGATGGGCCGGCTCGAACCGGGGTGGTACCACGACCTCACAGAAAACCAGCGTGAAGTAGAGGTTTACTTCTGCGTTTCGCTTGGTGAGTGCAGGTGGCCGGAGGCCCTTTTTACTGGAAATGAGGCATTCCATCTTAGTCCTCACGGGTGACAACGCATCTACATTTTGATTTGTAATAGAGGATAGATGTAGATGTCTATGGGCCGCAGCAACCACTTACCATCAGGTGGACTGTGTGCTCGTTTGTCACCCTTATCATATAAAAAAAAAAAAAAAAAAAAATAATGTTCCATACAAAAAATTTGGATCATTTTGGTTTGAAAGTGATGGAAGTTTTTTCACTATGTTACTTCTAAATTTCTCCAAGCGACGTGCATTTACTTGAACAAACACAACTTTCTTATCTACTTGCTTTTTGTGAACATAAGGTAACGAAACTATCTGTCCACAGTGATCAGAACTTAATTTTTGAATTATACATTTATGCAACGGATTCACATTTGTAAAAATGTTATTTTGCACTAGATTGAGCAATACGCGTTGGCTCTAAAAATAAATTAAAAAGACCATATGATTTAAACAATGATCTAAATTTAATATTGATTGAGGAAGCTTCTAGGAGATTGATATTAAAGTCCACATATTACAACAGATTTATTCTGTTTATTAAGCTTTGCAAAAACTTCCTCCATAATTTTTTCAAAAGTATCGTATATAGAACATGGGGGTCTGTAGACGCTCACAACAATGAGGTGCTCAAACTCAACACATGCCATTTCTGCAGTTCGCTGAACAGAATAAATGACTATGACTATGACTTTGATTATGACTATGACTATGGTGGTAGTCACTTACCATCAGGTAACACGCATCCGCGCATGCACGTTTACCCTCTCATATAAAAAAATACTTAATACATTTGTCTTAATAATATTCCAGGTGGAAAAAGTGCATCGTCCTTCATGGAGCGATGCATCGCCTTCATCGGAGACAACGCGGCTGATTGCGTTAAGACCAACGCCTTCCTCAATCTGCCCAAGGAGGCGCTCATCAAACTTATATCATCTGACTTTGTATGTACTTTGTATAAGCAAGGAAGAAAGGATTATACGATTAACGATAAAAGTAAGATTGACAAATGAGCACACAGTCCACCTGATGGAAAGTGAATGCTGTGGCCCATAGACATCTACATCTATCTCTAAAAATTATTTTTTAAAAAAGTTCCTTCCAGACTGAATTTCTGTCATGCCAGTCAGTCTCAGCAGAGACAAGATATTTGCGCAGGGTAGGATTATAGTGCATGAGTATGTACACAAGCATTGCATTGTCTATTCTCTCACTCTCAGTCTGGTGGGACGGTACTCCGACACGACTGGAGAGAAATCAGGCGCAGAACCAACGGCTTTTTTGTACGTTCTATGTGAAATACCGTCAACTTCCTGACTCTTGGCTTCTACTGAGAATTTCTTGATTGAAAAACCCAATCACTGATTTCAGCCCAATCCAGAATACGAACTCGGGAACACATCGGGCTTACGACCACTAGACCAGCGAGGTAGTTAAAAATAGTTTGGATTCTTGTCGTTGGAGATCAAGTTCACATCGAAAATTTATATAATTGCTGGGTCTTTTCCTTACACTTTATAATAATTAATAATTATTGGTTGATAATAAATAGAACTGACCGTGCTGAGTGCTGATGATACACCGATTTAATTGATATTTGCACGTGTATGGTAAAAATGGTGCAGAAAGTTAAGCTTAGTACAAAATAATGCTTTATATACATGTACGATAGTTCGTACAAAACTCTTGTCGCATTATTAGTTGTGCCTGGAAGAGGAGGAAGTGTGGCGCTGTGCACTTGCGTGGGCGAAGCAGAGAGCTGGGGTGACGCAGCCCACGGCGCACTGGACGGAGGAGGAGCGCGCTCGTGTGTGCCACCACCTCGCGCCCCTTATGCAGCACGTACGACTACTGCTCATTGGTGAGTGTACATTGCTGGCTTATGATTAATCCAATTGAGAGTGGGTAACGGTTAACCTTCAATGTATGTTCATCATTATCATCATTGCATCTTATCAAAAGTCCATTGCTGAACGTAGACCTCCTTTATAGGTTGTCTTAAAAGGAGGCATATTATTTGCAATAGTTGCAACAATTAGTAGGCGGATCGGTAGCAACCACAGTTTATAATCTATTAAACATTCCGTGGGTGTCGTAAGAGATGATAGAGGGGAATAAATCAGGAGTAGGGCAGCAGCATCTCAATTACAACTTTTTTCATTCATTCATTCATTACGGCTCTTCACATGCTGAACATAGGCCTCCCCCAAGGAATGCCACAAAGCACGGTCCTGAGCCACCTGCATCTATTGACTTCCTGTATGTCTTAATAGGTGTTCACTCCCTTTAGTGGGTGGACGCCCTACACTTCGCCTGCCGGTACGAGGCTGCCATTCGAGAACTTTTCTTCCCCATCTGTTGTCGGTTCTTCTGGCTATATGGCTCGCCCATTGCCACTTCAGCATACTAATACTTTGGGTTATGTCGGAGTATAGTCCTCTCCATAGCTCGCTGAGTGACTTTGAGCTTCCTCATACGGTCAGCAGTGAAGGACCACGTCTCAGATCCATAGGTCATCACTGGCAACACGCACTGGTTGTACAATCTAGTTTTGAGGTATGTCTGACGAGAAGACGTCGTAATCTTCAGAACGCTGCCCAGCCGAGTTGAATCCGTCAATACCGCCATGAGCAATTACAACTAAAAAATAAAAATTGTGGTTTGCCAAACGTGGGAATCTTTCTATGAGGTAATGTATAAAGGAGGCGTATATTCAACAGTATTTAATAGGTTAATGATGATGGTAATGGTTGTATTGAAGGCATTGTTGGGTGCAGACAGCACGGTGTTCGCGGAGGAGGTGGAGCCGACGGGCGCCGTGCCCATGGAGCTGTCGCTGGAGCGCTACCGCCGCGCCGCGCTGCACGCCGCGCCGCGCCCCGACCCCGACAAGCGCACGCAGCCCAGGTAACGCCTACCCATCGGTACCACTGCTCCTTAACTCTACACTTAGGTACCATTAAATTAGTATTATGTAAGAGCGTGGACCTTTTTTTATAGGAATAGAGTGACAAACGAGCACACTGCCCACCTAATGGGAAGTGGATATTTTACATTTATCTTTGATTAAAAACCAAATGCAGATAAATTGTCACTTCTGAGGACTTAGATTGAATGCACATTGATATCCAGTAAAAATGGTCTCCATTTCTCTACACTCACCATACAAAACACAGCAATATTATGCTGCTATTTTAAAATGGTAATTTATAAGAACGTAGCCCATTCCTGGTCGAGCCGAATTGTTTGTACTCATACTGCGGTCATAATACAGTTGCAGCGGGACTCAACACTATAAGATAGATAATGCAAACAACAAACATACTACATATATCATTTCGGAGTACGCATATATCATCATTATCTAATATTCTCATACCTATTAGTATAGTAAAGTCACCGCTTAATGACTAAGTAATAAGTTTGTAAAACCAAATCGTTAAATAAAACTAACGTTAATGATTTTATCGCGTTTAATTTTAACTTTTTAATTCTCAACGCTTCGGGTGGTTTTACAACACTTCATTTAATGCGTAGTGTTTGCTTAAATATTAAAAATCAAATCGTTGAATATAATTGCCATTGTTAATGTTTCAGAAACTACAGCTGTTCTGCAAATCTCCAATTTTAATTTTAATTAGTATATTAACTGATTATTTATTTCAGACTGGCCGTCAATATGTTCGCGGGTTCCGTGATTCTTCAGGATAAGAGTGCTTTCCAATCATTAATTAATAGCTGGTAAGTATCATAGCCGTGTAGTAGTATCCACTACCCCATATCGTCCCGTGGGTGACGTAGGAGGCGACAGGTGGAACTGTAACAGCAGAGGGGCAGCAGCATCTTTCTGATAACAACTCAAAATTTTGAACAAATGCGGTTGCCAACCCGCCTGCCAAGTGGCAACTATGGCGAAATCCCCTTATGAGGCACTCTCTGGGTAGGCCCATGTTCAGCACTGGAGTTATAGGTTGTAATGGAAGTAATTACTTTTGTGATTTTGAATATAAAAAAAAAATGTTTCATTTCGGCTAAGTCGTGACATTATTTAAATGCTTCTGTACAAAATTTTCCTAACTTAGTTTTTTACTCTAACTTGATGTGTGCTGTTTCCACGTTCTAGATTAGATATAAAAGTAATATATTAATACAAATAATACGCAACCACAAAAACAGTTTTTTTTTTGCAATTTTTATAATGTTTTTCTTTTTCTTGATGTTCCGAGTTCTTTATAATTTTTGAATTTTTAAATTTAAAAATTCCGTATGACCATATCATATGGAATTTATAATTTTAAAATCAGAACACTTGCAGACAGAAAATAAACGCGTAGGTATAGATTAGTTTTATTCAAGAAGAGAAGAGAGTTTTATTCATAAAATATACCTCGAGGCTTGTTTTTCGGAATTGGATGTATTCATAGTTTATACCAGTTTTTAATAAAACTGGGCTTAGAATGTTGCCTTGATGGACACCAAGTTATTCTCGGTGGAATATCCTTTTTTGCCCTTTTGTTCGTCGAAACATCAGCAATGATTACTACGTATTGGTGAGAAATAAAATTATTTTGGAATAAAATACATTCATTTTTTACCAGATAAGCCATGTAGCAATGAGCAGAAATATCGCCTTTATGATATTCATAATTCACATGAACTTTAAGAAAAAGCAAATTAATGATTTTTGGTTCTCCATGAGTGCTGCTAGACATTTTATTGGCTAAACGTGTTCTAAGTAGCTCGCTGCTATTTGCATTGATCCCCATCGGGGATTACAATCTTGACCGTATGTATGTATCTGAAATCAGCTGTAGCTGTAATCAGCTGTAGCTGAATATAGTACTACTACCTAATAGTGTATTGTTAACGTCGCAAATATTAATTAACATTTTTTTTTAATTTTAACTTTGTAAATCTTATAAGTACAGTCAAATAAAATGTCAAAGAGTTTTATATGTAAAGCACATCACCTCTCCCATAACCATCAGTTGGGATGTTTGCTCGTTTGTAACTGACTGGAAATTGCTTGGCAGGTGTGGCGGTGGCAAGCAGGCGTGGCGGTTGGTGTTCCGCGCATCGACACACGGCTTCTCCGCGCAGGCGTTCCACTCGCACTGCGACGGTGTTGCGCCCGTGCTGTTGCTCGTGCAAGTAAACATACGTTTCCTCTTTTCTTCCCTGATCAATATCTAATTCAATGTTTTATTTTATACTATAAGGATGACAAACGAGCACACGGTCTACTTGATGGTAAGGGCATGCTGTGGCCCATAGAAATCTACATTTATCCTCGATTAAGAATCGAAATTAAGATACGTTGTCATCTCTGGAAACTGCACATCTATCCTTGGTTACGAATTAAAATGCAGATGCGTTGCCACCCGTGAGGAACAAAATGGAATGTCTCGTTTCCAGTAAAAATAGTCTGGTATTTCGCATTGGTCCCGGGTCGAGCTGACCATTCGTGCTACAACCATATTATAGCTGCAGCGTGGCTCTACCACGAGAATAAAATATAGGTTACGAGAATATTAATTGAAAGTCATTTAAGCTTTTACCACTGGCTTAAATTAAGATAAAGATCTCATCAAGAACTCATCAACTGATTTCTGGCAGCTGCCGTCTCCTAAAAACGTATGGTAAAGAGATTTGTAACCATTTTCATATTTTGTAAATTGTAATAGAGAGTTTGATTTATTCTTTGTGGTTGAAGTTCTCGTAGTTAAGGCCACAATAAAGAAAAAATATATATACGGCAGCCGCAGGCCGGTGTAGAGGCGAAATAAAAATCCATCTTAGTCCTAAAAAGTGACAACGCATCTGCATTTTGATTCTAAATCGAGGACCGATGTAGATGTCTATGGGCTATAGCATCCACTTACCATCAGGAGAATTGTTTGCTCATTTATCACCCTTAATCAACAAAAAAAAATGCGTAAGTGTCGTGGAATACTCGGTTGGAACGAAGTTCCTTTCGTACTATATTACTATTGATAAACGTATTATAACTATTGGTTAACAAAATACAAATAAATGAACTACTAGCGTCTATTAAAATGAAGCGTCATTTGAAATATTTCTTTCATGGCAAGATAAGAAAAAGTGTGAGGGAGATAGATACTATTCCGTCTCGCTCGCACTATAGAAACGGTGTCGTGATGGAAAAATCTTACACTTTTTTTCGCCTAGCCCCCATCCGTCAAATAGCAAATTTCAAAAAAGCTATGACAGCCTTAACGAAGTGCGTATACTGATATTAATAATGAAGTTTGAATAGTGGTGTCATAATAATATCCATTATTCCATAACATCTCGTTAATGTCGTAAGAGGCGACAAAGGGAAATAAATCAGTGATATTTATGATAACAACTTATAGGAATAAAAGTTGCGGTTTCCAGTCCTGCTGAGCGTGGCTATTGACAAATATGGTCCCTGAGGGGATCATAACATGGATTATGACATGGAGACGGCCTTTGTTTAGCTGTGGACTTTTGACAGGACATCAATGATGTTTTGAGCACAACACTGTTAATCGATATCGATGTTTATTCTATCATGATTATCTCATTTTTCATTTTAGCAGCTTTTTAGAGAAAGTAAGACGGCTCAGATTGTTTGGTTGGTTGGCTAAAGGTTTTTTTTATATGAAAGGGTGACAAACAAGCACACAGTCCACCTGACGGTAAGTGGTTGCTGTGACCCATAGACATCTACATTTATCTTCAATAAAGTATCAAAATGCAGATGCGTCGTCGTCCGCGAGGACTGAGATGGAATGCCTCTTTTCCAGTAAAATGGGTCTCCGGTCCTCTACACTCGAACGATACGAAACACGGCATCGTCAAACTACCATTTTACGCTGGTACTCTGTGAGAGCGTGGTCCTTCCCCGGAGCCGACCCATTCGTGCTACAACTATACTACTAATATAGCTGCAGCATGCCCCTACCAGGTATAAAGATTGATTTTTTATTATAGAATAAGGGTGACTAACAAGCACCCAGTTCACCGAATGGTAAGTGAATAATGTGGCGCATCATCATTATCATTACAGCCCTTCACAAGTCCACTGCTGAACATAGGCCTCCCCCAAAGAATGCCACAAAGCACAGTCCTGAGCCACCTGCATCCATCGACTTCCTGCATATCTTACCAGGTCGTCACTCCATCTAGTGGGGGGACGCCCTACACTTCGCCTGCCGGTACGAGGCCGCCACTCGAGAACCTTTCTTCCCCATCGGTTGTCGGTTCTTTGAGCTATATGGCCGGCTCATTGCCACTTCAGCTTACTAATCCGTTGGGCTATGTCGGTCACTCTGGTTCTACTGCGGATATCCTCATTTCTGAGTTTATCACGCAGAGAAACTCCGAGCATAGCCCTCTCCATAGCTCGCTGAGCGACCTTGAGCTTCCTCATCCGGCCAGCAGTGAAGGACCACGTCTCAGTTCCGTATGTCATCACTGGCAACACGCACTGGTTGTACAATTTCGTTTTAAGGTTTTGAGGTATGTCTGACGAGAAGATGTGCCGTAATTTCCCGAACGCTGCCCAACCGAGTTGAATCCGTCGATTGACCTCTCGGTCGAAGTTGGACTTACCTAGTCGGACTATTTGTCCCAGGTAAACATACTCGTCAACAACTTCGAGCTTAGTGTTCCCAACAACTACCGGCATAGGTGTGACATGGACATTAAACATGATCTTTGTTTTGTCCATGTTTATCTTAAGACCTATCCGTTGGGAAACACTATTGAGGTCATTGAGCATAGTGCTTAGGTCCTCCAGCGATTCTGCCATAAGGACTATATCGTCGGCAAATCGAAGGTGAGTGATGTACTCGCCATTGATGTTGATACCGTATCCTTTCCAGTCCAGAAGCTTGAAAACATCTTCCAATGCAGCGGTAAAGAGTTTCGGGGATATGACGTCACCCTGTCTTACACCTCTCTGCAATTGGATAGGTTTCGTACTCTGGTTCTGTACTCGGATAACCATCGTAGCCCTACTGTACAAGCACTTCAACACTTCAATATACCGACAGTCAACTTGGCATCGCTGAAGGGACTGCAGCACCGCCCAAATTTCGACGGAATCAAAGGCTTTCTCATAGTCCACATACGCCAGACATAGTGGCAAATTGTACTCCTCGGACTTCTGTACAATTTGCCGAAGGGTATGTATGTGGTCTATGGTGCTAAAGCCTTTTCGGAAACCGGCTTGTTCGGGAGGCTGGAAGTCGTCAAGTCTGCGCGCGAAACGATTCGTAATGACTCTCGAAAACAGCACGTAGACGCGGCTCCGAAGGGAAATCGGTCTGTAGTTCTTCAAGAGAGCGTTGTCGCCTTTCTTGAAGAACAAGACCACCGCACTTCTGCTCCACACCTCCGGTGTAATGCCACCATGGAGGACGGAATTAAAGAGCTTCTGAAGGACTTCAAGTACCGGTTTTCCACCCGCTTTCAGAAGCTCCTTTGTAATTCCATCCTCGCCTGGGGCCTTACCGTTTTTAAGGTGCTGGAGAGCCATTCTAATCTCGCTCAGACTGACGTCCGGGATATCATCGGAATAATGTCGGATAAGACTCGCTCTTGGATCGTTACTCACACTTGCGTGCGGCTCCAACGATGACGTGTACAGCTGCCCATAGAACCTCTCAATCTCACTCAAAATCTCAAGTGCCCCGGAAACGATGCTGCCACATTCGGTCTTCAGCTTTGACAGTTGGCTCTTTCTGGCAGACAGATCTCTGGCAAAGACTTTGGAGCCTTGTTTCCGCTCGATCGCTTGTTCAATACGAGCTGTATTGAAGTTGCGTAAGTCCCGCCGCATGCATTTGGAGATCTGTCTGCATGTGGCGCATAAACATCAGCATTTATCGTCAATAAGAATGAAAATGCAGATGCCTTGTCACACCTGCGATGGACTCCGGTTCCCTACAGTCACCATACGAAACACGGCAGCATTGAGTTATTATTTTACGCTGGTATTCTGTGAGAGCGCGGTCCTACTGCGGTCGAGCCGACCTATTTGTGTTACAATCATAATAAAGCTGCAGCATGACTCTACCACGTATAGATATAGCTTTTGTGATAGCATTCAAAGTTACATAGGAAAGTTTCGCTTCTTACGCGTAGCGTCTACAGAGTAGAGTCTAAATAGAGAAGTTCCGTCTCTTAAGTGTCACTACAATACATGGGGAAGTTCCGCTTAAGAATAAAATTGTTTGACAGCCGTCGCGCGGGCCCGTCGTGGGTGGGTACTGCGAGGCGGGCTGGTCGGCGGGGGGTGCGAGTGGGGCTGCTGGAGGGGGTGCGGGGGGCGCGGGCGGGTACGTGCCGGCGGAGCGCGCGCTCTTGTTCGCGCTGGCGGAGCCCCCCACGCGCTACCCTCTCGTCAAGAAGGCCTTCGCGCTCTGCTACCATCCAGAGTCAGTATAATTTTTTTAAATAAAAATATTACCCCCAAACTTGGGTTTTCTCCTTTATCGTGGAGATAGTTTACAGATAATATATATATTGTATAAGGAACAACATACAGACACTACAATACAGGGATTCGAATTCGAGGATCTCAGCGCCGTAACTCATTACTAAACTAGCCAATCGGCTGTTTGTGCATTGCTGTTTTTTTTTTATAGATGAAGTGTGATAAAGAGCACACAGTCAACGATGGTAAGTTGACGCTGTAACTCATAGGTATTCTCCATTTATCCTCGATTCACATATTGATTCTTAATATGCAAAAACGTTTTATTCCTTGAAAACTAAAACGGAATGCCTCGTATGTAGTAAAAAGGGTCTCCGGCATTGAGTTATATGCACTACGTACATCTTCGGTATAATAATATTTTAAAGTAAATATTGTGTAACTAGTACAAATTTTTATCCCAATCATATGGAGTGTAGAGTAGAAGGAGAATCATCTTGTAAGCTGAAAAAGTGTCCCACTATATACTGAAAATAGAGGTTCCAAAACCTACCACAATAGCGCTGGCGTCTGAAAAACTACGATATGAAGATAGCTTTTGTAGACGGAGTGAAGTCAGCTGAATACAAATATTTAAAAAAAATCATGACTATAGTAGTTAGTAAAATGTTAGTATACAAAAACTCAACTATTTACGTAGTACAAAACCAAGCGGATTGGTTGGTCCTTGTTTATTTCTCCATCTTAATCTAATTAATTTTGGCGCTTTTTTTTTATTTATCCTATGCTACTGCAGCGCCACCCTTATTGGACGCGTTTTTAGGGACACTTTTCGTATATAGAGATGGTCCTCCTTATACTCTACACGCCATACCCAATCACAAAAAGAAAACGTCACCTTCACCACACACAGCGGTTTTCCTTACGCCACCTCAACATGGCAACTTGCAATATAGTATATTTCATTACGAGTGCGGAAAGCATGTCATTGCAAAGAGTTCCGACAAATGTCTACTCGAGCCGAGGCGCAGCCGAAGGTGAGGGTTGACAGTCGGAACAAGTTGCACGTTGACGGTTCCGCACGTGTACTGAATAACTATTTTTAATACAGTTGCGAAAATAAAGAACATTTTTGGAAAATGGCGCCAAGCGTAAAAGAATATAAGCAGAGATTTTTTTTTGTTTTCTTCACCCATTCTGGGTAGGCAAAGGGAACTATGCCCATACAGCCAAGTCTTCAGTAGAATTTTTTTATTGATATGAAATGAAAATTAAATTTAATGAAATAAATGAAATGAAACCTAACTCATTGATTCAAATCATTAAATCTGATATTGAAACAAATTAGTAGCTTCTTTTCGGCAATTAAAGCCGTGACAAATGAGTCCGGATAATCGGATGTTCGGATAATCGGGATTCTACTGTATCGTCATACCTAAGGCCGTATACAGAAAGAAAGCTGGCAGCCTATCAGCGCTTATAGGGACCGGTCCACGCAGGTAATCGGCGCAGGTTTTTATATGAAAAGGCGCCGATAAGCGCCGAACGTCGCCGACAAGTTCCGACAATCTTCAGCGCTGGCGCCGCCCGCCACATAAAATTAATGAACAACTATACGACAACTAAGACACGCATATATTTTTGTTAAATATAGAAATGAATAGTGACGTGTTGATTGTACGGAAGATGGCATATCATGGGTACACTTAGATACTTTTTAAAATCGCTCTTATTAGAAAATAATAAGGTCGGTACAAATCTCGACATGTACATCTTGACTGTACAACTGTATATTTAAACAACGTTTAAACATTTTAAATTATTATTTATTACAGAGATTTACAGCTCTAAGGCAAATATTTTGTAAGAATTGACTAATGGATAAATAAACATCTTTTTTAAACATTTTTTTAATGTAATCTTTTTATAAGTCTAATAACTTTATCTTTTAATAACTAAGCGATAAATATATTTTTTCGTACTTAGTCTTTCTTCTGGAAGGATTGGTTGTTTATGCCAATTACACCAATTTTTATCAAATGTTTTTCCACTAAGTCCAAAATGTAATAAAATGTTTCTTGAGTCATTCCTGTATAACTATAGAATTTTTGAACATCAAATTTTAATTGTTTTACAAATAAATTATGGTATTCTCCGAAACGTTTCCTTTCTCTATTAATAGGATATATAGCTTATTTTCGCATTTTGAAATACACATTTTCTAACAAAACTAATTCATCGTCCGATGAGTACGACATTTTGCTCGCTCTGCTTCAATCGGCTTGCTTTATGTAACTGTTACCAGAATAGACCAGCGCCGATAAGCGCTGGTAGGCCAGCGCCGGCTGCCGGCTTTCTTTCTGTATACGGCCTAAAACGTTATTTCCACAATTATTACTTCTGTAGCAGCAATGCGCCGGTTATCAGCTAGAATATAAATATTCATTGTAATATAATCTGTTCACTCTGCAAAAAATTTCTGACAATTCGGCATGTGTTTAGGATCACAGCCTCCTGTAAATTAATAAAAATTAGTCCTGGCAGATCGAGTGATTTGATTGACTACTGCGAGGATACCTATTATTAACGAGTCTTGCCAATAGCAAATCGCAAGTTTGGCACAGTTTGAAGGTGGGGTGGTTACAGGTGCGGTCCGATCTTCGGCGCGGGTGCAGACTTACTGCTGGCGCACAACTGCAACACCAACAGCGACAGCTACAGCAACCTGCACTCGTACGGCGACGCGCCCGCGCCCGCCTCGCTGCTCCCCGACTACAACTTCACCGTGCGCGACTACGAGATATTCACCACCGCCTAGCAACCCCCACATACTCTGTCGAAATATTTAAGCGTTCGCCCACGAAAATTAAGATTTTTATATAAATAAATATTTTGTGGGTAATTGTGTTTTTTATTTAATTTACCTACCGTGGAAATGGCTGAAACGAATAGAGTAACACGAGCTTACGGCGGATTGGAGGGGAGTAGTTTTTCTCTAAATCTACACACACACACACACACACACACACACACACACACACACAAGTGCTAACATTAAAAGTTTTGTACGAACGACTTCAATATAAATAAAATGAGAACATCATCAATGTAGTAGAAGTCAATTAAATACGCATCATTCGATAACTCAAAAACTACTGGTCAGATCTTGATAAAATTTATATGGAACCACATGAGAAGCACCAGCTTTAAAATAAAAAAAGAATCATCAAAATCGGCTCACCTAAGAAAAAGGTCTCATGAGTAAGGTAACACATAAAAATACTGTCGAATTGAGAACCTCCTTTTTTCTGAAGTCGGCTGAAAAACAATCGTCTGTCACTACAAAAGTTATACATAATAAATAAAATAATAAAGTAACAATCTCACACACACATAGATATACTAAAACGGTATCGCTCGGTGACAGCGACAACACGGATACAGACTTGGATCAGTCACTCGACCGATCTGCATATTGTATGAGAGCGAGCGGCCTGTGTTGGTAAGCAAATCCGAAACAACACGACCGTTATTACTGTAGATTTGAGTTTTGGCGGAAACTTGACCGGTGACGGATTGCTGCTCCTGTATTATTGTTTAAATAATGGTTTGAAGTGGATTTTAATATGTAAAAGTGGTGCGATTTTGTGTATTAAATGTTTGCGCATGTGAACTATTAATGGAAACGGTGAAACAAGTGCTTTGATGGTGATGTGATTCTCAAGATATGTTGTCGGTCTGCTTAGGCGCCTTGAGATACCATCGCCAACTTTCAGCTGTCTGCTGGCTCAAGTTGCCGTCAAAATCTCGCAAGGGCTGCACAATGTGACGCATCAACATATTGTGAAGCACTATACTATGAAGAATAATAATTATACATTGCAAGTAACTTCAGGCTCAGAAGGACTAGGACCCAGAGCTGTAAAGCCAGTTATTAAAAAAAATACTGTAGATTTTAGATTTAAAAATAAGTAAATAGTAATAATGCGATTAAAAAATACTTAGACATGAAAGTTAAAGCCATCTTTTTGTAAATTTGATGTAGCAGATTTCTTTTTACAGCAAAAAAACTAAATTCAGTCGTGCAACTAGATTTAGTCTAGTGAGCAGTGCGGTTGCACTACAAGTTTCATTGTACGGATAGGATCGCATGGACTTATACTTTGTAAGAGGGGAAACCAGTTTATTCCCTATATATAATGTACTCTGTGCCAGTTTATGACTACTCCCCTCAGATACGCCAGTGCCCCGTGTTGCTCTATTGCTGAAATGTCTAAGGTAATTTTGTATTTTTTATTATTTTAATTATTCTGGCATTGGCTACTATGCCTTCAGCTAAAAAAGAATAAATCATACAATGCATACACGTATAATCTGTGATTTCATGTATTCATTTGTGTGGTAGATCTATGATAAACACAGACCTCTTAAGGTTCCAGTACACGTTGGTCGAGCGTGCTTGGCGAGCGCGCCCGGTGGATTTTCGTGTTGCCGTTCACACGTTGGCGTGTTTTATTCTGCGTTGGTAGCTAGATGATGATGGACGATAGGGCGTTTTTATGTTGCTCATGTTTTAGGTTCCATATAACTGATTCATTGTGATAAGAATCAATGAACCTAAATATTTCCTCATTAGTCCATACCGCCATGTTCATGAAACAATTTTATTAAGCCGATACTACAGTCTACTCCGACGCGTAACTATGAACTGAACACTCGGCCAACGTGTAATCGCTGTTCGCGGCTTGCGCCAAATTTCTTTGATTTGTGCACGGAAAACCGACACTATACCACATGAGTAAAGAAACCGACCAGAGGGGAAGCTACATACAAACGGCTCGCGGCGAATACACCCATACATAGCCCAGCGATGTGTGCGTGAGCTCTCACCGAGAGGTTCACCGACGTTCCGTCGGGGTACAAACCGGTTTGCGCCGGCTCAGTCAGAGTATCCATGAAAGGGCTGTTAGTCGTGCGCATTTAAATAAATAGACCAACAATATTTCGAAATTTTATACATCAATTAATTAATTTAGTTTTTTGAAATTATTAAATAATTAGTATTTAAGTAAGATACGTTGGGGTAAGATCGCTGATGGGGCAAGACCGTAGGATTCAAATTCCCGGCGAATTATGCTATATTTTGAAAAGCTAACAATATGCTACACGACGCCATTTCATCCTGCCCCGACCCTCAGTTCGCGCCAGTCACTCCGGCAAGTGGGACCTGTGCTGCGTCAGCTGCGTGGCATTTTATAAAACAATGTAATTTTTGTATTATTTTTGTCCATCCGATCTTTCCCTATCACTTTTATTTACGATTTTTAGCGAGAATATGGCTTCTTTTGTTATTATTTTGTGTGGATACTAATTTTTATGAAGTTATAGCTAAATAAAGCTGGTCCATGCAGGGCTAAGATCGCTGTAGGCCGAGATCCGATGTTTCCCCTCGTGAGTGAAGATCGGATGAATATTATCCGATCTTTGCCTGTTACAAATATGGCAGTGGTTGTTAAACTTTCATTGGTCGTGTATATTTTTTCGTTGATTACTCAAGTCACTATGGGACTCAGTCTCGTTAGCAAGTCTGTATATTTAAAAGTAATAAAACAATACGATGGTTTTATTACTTTTAAGTACACATTAAAATACATTTTTTTTATAGGATAAGGGTGACAAAGGAGCACACAGTCCACCTGATGTTAAGTGATTGCTGCGGCCCATAGACATCTATATCTATCCTCTATTACAAATCAAAATGTAATTTATAATAATTATTTAAAAAATAATTTATAATAATAAATGCCACTTTGTTAAAATATTTATATCTTCCTTAACTCCTGCATTATCTCAGGGCATTTCGCCAGTCCTTACTATTATTTTTTTTTCCCATATAAAATCAAATGCATCCGATCTTTCTCGTATATTGAGTAATTCCATCTTATGTCATAACAAAGTTTGAGAAACATAAAATTACAATTTCTTTATATCAGGGATAAGATCGGATGGCAAGAAACAAAAAAAGAGAAAATCGTTTGGAACATTTATGTTTCTAGTAATTTATAGATCATATTGAAATATGTTTTTGAGCGTTAAAGATAGGACAAATCTCTTTTATAAACTTTTTTCTCTAAGCAGTAGAAGTGGTTTTAAATTTAAGTCCGGTCTTACCCCTTAATGGCCAATTTTTCATTATGCATATAAAAAAGTATGTCTAGTTTTCGTACACCTTTAAAGCAGAAACCGTTGAGTTTACACAAGCAAAAGATTCTCAGAGCTAAACTACGTTTAACGATTAACGGTTTGCTCCATGTTCCATAAATCTGACGTATACGAATGTCGAGAAATTAAAGTTTTTGGCAGACTCTTCCAACTATTCGAAAATCCGTCCGGTATTACCCCAAAGTACCTTATTTTAATTAAAATAATTAAGAATTAAGTTATTATAAATTTATATAGGTAAATAATAAGTGTTTTGTATAAGTAAAAATGTCTAATAGTTGTACAGTATACATGAATAATTCTAGAGAAAATAACGATATTTCCTTTTTTGTACCCAAGAGATCAAGTGAACTAAGTACCTTTTTACGTATTATATACAATAAAACTAGGTAATGACATTGATAGGTAAGTGAGAATGTGTTAGACGGGTACGTCGCCGAGAGATGAAGTCGGTCTCACCTACTTGAAACGTTAGTCAGTTTAACCTTGACAGTGGCGCAGATGGCAGGATATCTTACGTAATAAGGCTAAATGTGTGACTTTATCCACCCACTTTAGTATTGAGGTACGTTGCTTCCTGGGGAAGGATATAAGCTACTTTTTGCGAGTCGCGACCCTATGGGTATATACCACTGCATTATAGTTGGAATACAATCGCCAGGCATTGGTGGGGGTGGTGGGAATGGTGTTGGTGGAAGTGGTGCTGGTGTTGGTGGATAGTGTAGCTGATAGTGTCAGTAGTGGTGGAGGTGGTAGTATCGTAGGTAGTGGTAGTAGGCAGTGAACCAACCAAACGAGCATGCGGCTCACCTGATGGTAAGTGACTACCGCCGCCCATGAACAACCGCAACACCAGGGGACTTGCAGATGCGTTGCCGGCCTTTTAAAAAGGAGTAGGCTCTTTTCTTGAAGGTCCCTAAGTCGTATCGGTCCGGAAAAATCGCTGGTGGTAAACTATTCCACAAGGAAGTTGTGCGAGGAAGAAAACATCTTCTAAATCGCACAGTGGTGGACCGCCAATCATCCAGATGGTGTGGATGGTATCGGGAGTTCTGCCGCGATGTGCGTTCGTGAAATTTGGCGGTTGGGATTAATCCGAACAATTCCTCAGAGCACTCCCCGTGGTAAATGCGAAAGAAAATGCAACATCTCTTCGCAGCGCCAATGAATCGAGCCGATCGGAAAGGACTCGGTCGTCGACGATTCGAGCCGCTCCGCGCTGGATGCGGTCAAGTGGAAGGAGCTGGCACTGGGGAGCCCCAGCCCAGAGATGGGAACAGTATTCCATGTGAGGCCGAACCTGCGCCTTGTAAAGTTGCAGGCGTTGAGCCGGCATGAAATACTGTTTCGCTCTGCTGTGCTTGCTAAGCTTTTTAGAGGCCAATTTGGCCTTCCCTTCCAAGTGACCATGAAACTGCACACTACTCGATATGTCGACGCCAAGGATTCCGATGCTAGCTGAGGCATCAAGGGGAGTGCCTTGAAACTGAGGAGATACGACAAAGGGGTTATTTTTAGCGCAAACTTGTGTTTTCTGGGGATTGAACTGGACTAGATTTAGTCGCCCCCAATCCGAGACTTTGTTAAGCAAAGACT